AATAAATTATTTGTGAGATCCGAAAAATGTATTAAGGTTAAGGGAGGTTATATTGAAAAGGAAAAATAGTTTCGTGTTAAATTTCAACCCCCTTCCCGTTCATTCCGCGAACTTATTGACCTCCCCTCGTATAACAAAACATAGAGTTAGATTTTGAGATTGTTTACTATGTTAAATAGCATTACTTTATTAGTTCTGAACACGTTTTTGTAATTATTCTTAGTTTGATTCCATTTTATTCATATATTTTAGAAATGCATTGAAATTAACCAGTCCCTTAAAGAATATTTGAGATGCCGCCATCTTGGAGATACCACCATTTTATATTCAGAATGACGTTACAAAATGAGCCAAGTCTTCGTATCCAAATTTCACATGCACATACAAGTTTTAGCACATACTAATAAAACTATCTACTTCAAAACTGAGCTGTAAGATTTCATTCTAACAAATTAACATACATTGCAAGTTAAATAAAAGCTTTCAAAAGCCGTAGTACCGCCTGGGTTTAGTTTCCATTTAAAACTTAGAAGACGGAACATATTATGTAAATAAGAAAAATAGTCGTATATTGAATGTTAATACAAAGAAATATCATATCTTTATAGTGTAAATTAGCAATAAAGTGGAAGTCATACATAATTGATATATTATATTATTAAACGTACATATATAAAATATTAATTCAAATTCTATATTTCCAAACTTATAATACGATTTAAGTAAATTTAATAATCTCAATGACATAGTCCTCTTATACATAGAAATGTCGGAATGGGAATTCATTTGTTGCAAGTCAAAAGGCCATTTGCAATTGAAATAAATGGTATGAAATTATTAAACTTAAATCTTTTGCAGTAATTGCTATTACATTACACTTATATTTATATGTATAAAGTTATGTATATATGTTTTGTTGTAATAAAAAATTATCTACGTATAAGTGTTTAAGCGTCAAATATAAATAAAATTGATACTATAGATTGTTAAAGAGACATTTATAATTTGAGCATTAATCACCACGCTTACTCAAGACGAGTTGGCGATTTCAAACTTATAATTGGAAATTATAAGTCCAGGTTTCCTCACGATGTTTTCTTCATAGTATGTCAGTGGCGTCTAAATACTCTTAGAAAGTAGATATGACTCGGAAAAATCACATTGGTACTTGTCAGGTTTCGAACCCGTGCCCTCATGCATGAGAGATGGGCCTTTAACCTCTAGGCCGCCACGATAATAATATTTTAAAATTTAGTTGATCAAAATATATTTTGTAATGTGTAAATTGTTATACAGTATCTTGTGTAGTATTTACAATGGTTTTGTATTATGTCATCAGTAATATTATGTCATAGCCACGACATCGCATGACACAAACGTCTTGAAGATACAATTGTTGGAATGTGGTATTGGTATTTTAATGGAAGTACCACGAAAAGTTATTTGTGATCGAAACGTAAGCTGAATTCGTCGCGGTAATAATTAACATTCCATATATATGATATTCCATTACATATATACATGGAGAATAATAAATTTGTGTTCTTTTTTAACCTCATTTCATGGAGTCAGTTGGCTGTCACTGATTTAGTTTTTGACGTATGACTATGTTCTTTTCCTAACGATTGGAAAGAATAGTGCTCAATTAAAAAACATATTATTTATGCAATTTTTTATAGAAAAAAATTACACGCATTAAACGGAATGCAAAATAATTTTCAAGAAATTTTCATTCCTTGAAGAAGAATTGAAATGGAAGGTTCATCTCAAAAGAACATTTTACTCGATCAATCTTATTCTTTATACCTTATTGAACATAGATTTTTATATTCCTAAGCTATTCAACTTTATTTGAACGCGAATTTTCAATTGTACAAGTGCTTTTAAGAATAAAATAAAATTAACAGATTTTTTAAACTTCAATCTATTAATATACCCTTAATCAAACCTTAACGTTAGATAAGTTTAGAGTTTATATATTATAACTGTAAGAAGTTAAAAATTAATTCTCTGAAGAGGCAAACACAACTTTCGTAGTAATCTTTTTTTGCAAGTCAGGAGCTGCATTCAGGCCACAGCCCACTTTTGTTGACGTGGGTTCGATTCCCATTTCTTAATATTGAAGCCCAAAATCTTTACAATAATTGAAGTTGTGTAAGAAAGTTTTAAATAATGGCAAATACATTTTCATTTCATTGAAACGCCATTAAAAGTTTCCAAGCGATTTTTGCTTATAACTTTTGAGTTTTATATATGGACCCAAAGATAGCCTTTTTAAAAATGTACAATAAGTATATATATAATAATAAATATATAGCTTTTCAAATACAAATATGAAATAGCAAATGTCTAGTTAGACGAGTAGTAAGTTTTGTTTTGTTTTGTAACAGAAAGATATTATTGTGTAGCTAAAAAGAGTGGAGTCAGAAATGGTTTATAATGGCCGTCAAGAGAATCCATTTTATGGTGAACTAAAATTTTTATCACCAACGTTTTATAATGGGTATTCGAAATGCAATATTTACGACTGGTGAAATGATTTTTCCAAACGGAACCATACATTCGGTGTGTTCACTTGGTAATAAATCTTAAAACTCTCATAAAACTTCATTTTATCTTATCTGTCCATTTTCTGCTTAGTTATTTTTATACTGTTAGTTGAAAGCTAAAAATTAAGTCCGTAAAAGTACGTTCTTTGATATGTGGTGCTCCAAGGCGTAACCGAGATATAATATATATATATCATTTTCGTATTAAAAGCGTAAAAGTATTAGGGTACTGGGTAGTTATAAACTTTTTAACAAGAAGAAACAAGTAAATTGGGAATTACATAATATATTTTTTTGTTGTTATCCAGGTTTATATATTATTTTTTGTACATAATAAAATAATCCATTAATTGAGAGAATGATAAAAATATCTGTTTTTACTTCTATTACATTTAGAACCAGTTATAAAGAATACTTTAAGTGTTTTTTAAAAATATGCTAATGAAATTATAGAAAAGAATCTGAAATCTAGAGCCGAAACCATACAACCAACAAACAAATAAATAAACTTGTATTTATTATGTACAAAATAATTATATACAAACAACTATTAAAAGTTTAAAATAATTAATTAATTACCAGCCAGTTACCAAGATTGATAAAAAATACCACTTATTACTTAGAAAAGATGAATGCTATATATATATATTGTTAGGAGTACATAGAAAAAAAATACTCCGACCCCGTCTTGATCAATCCTTATGAACTACTTATGATCATAATATACATAATATACATTTTTATATTCTAATATGCAAGTACCTTTGTACTATACACTAATACCTGTAAATATATACATATTTACTAGCTTTCCGCCCGTCGCTTCGCCCGCGTGGAGTTCGGTTATATCGCGTTTCCAAGAGAACCTTTCAAAAGTCTATGATAAAAACTATCCTATGTTCTTTCTCAAGGTCAACTCTATCTCTGTACTAAATTTCATTAAAATCAGTTCAGTGGTTTAGGCGTGAAAGCGTAACAGACAGACAGAGTTACTTTCGCATTTATAATATTAGTAGGGATTATGCAAGTATATTTGTATTATAAACTCACTATTTATGTCTGCACAATAACGACGTGTGAATCTTTACCGTTCCTGTAACATATAAAACGCTCGCGGAAATTGTGTTTCGATTGATGGCAGTTATTTCCTCTTATTATAGTAATGCCTTTGTAAGTTAACTTGAAATGTAGGGATTATATAGTGTTATTACTTATTGGATTCGAGATACTGACTAAATGGACTTTTAGCAAAAATATCTATTTAAAGTAATGTATGTTATCACGTGGTAAAATATTTTCATTTGGTTTTAGTTAATAGATAAATATTAAAAAAATGTTTTCGATAACTTTATAGCAATTGTCTTCACGGGAAGATGAAATGAATTTCTCAATAGTAATAATCATATTTGATTTTTTATTTTATTTGAATGTATTTTGATAAAAATCTTGATAAAAATTACATATCTTTTTAAATAAAGTTCTTAAACCCGATATTTACAATTTACGGAATGTAAAAATGTTAATAGAAATAAATTATACCAATCATAATCAGCTTATTGAAGCCCACTGCTGGGAAAGGACTCTTTTCACATGGAGAAGATTTGAGCATTAATCACCACTCTTGCTCAAAACGGCTTGGCGATTTCAAACTTATAATTTGAAATTATAAGTCCAGGTTTCCTCACTATGTTTTCCTTCACCGTCTGTCAGTACTGTCTAAAAAGTCTTAGATAATTTAATAATATCAAAATTAAATATTAATTTCATGGACAATATATGTTGTAAGTGTAAAAAACATTATGATGATGATAAAACATAAATTTCAGAACAAAAACTTAGTTTTGTAATAATCGACAAGAAATTATAAAGATAAAATTCCTTTACCCGCAATATAAACTCAAAGTCATTCAAGTATGAAACCTACTGGGAAGAGTAATTACGTTTATGAATTCAGTAAAAGAAAGAAAAGGTTATTTAAATGAAAATAATATTTTATTATTTTCAAAACTACATTTTATCTACGTTTCGGTTACTTTACAGAAATCGTGATCACAGACAGACGAGATGACTCTTTTTATAAAGTTATATACGTGTAGTAATCCGAAAATATTAGTTTCATTAAATTAATACTGAAGTCTTAGATCTCTTTGTTTATTTTATTTATTTATTTCTTTTATGGTAAAAGCAACCGAGCAGACGGCCTACCTGATGGAGGTAGTACCGTCGCCCATAGACATCCGCGACATAAGACATGTTGCGGATGTGTCACCACCCTTTGACTTGGGCTCAAGGGTGATGACACATCCGGAGAATAAAAATTGAAGAGGAGGAGGGAAAAGTGGGAAAAGGAGGGAAAAGGGAAGGGGTAAGAAAGGATGGGAAAAGGAAAAGGGCAAATAGAAATAATACAGTCGATTATATATTGTTTATATATTAAATTGGTCTCATGTATTAAACATTAGCAACGTTTTGTATGACTGCCTCATATACTGTGATTCCTTCGATGAAAGCGCTGGTTTTGATGTTTTCGTTGTGTTCATGTATGCCTGGGCGTGTGTAACGTAGCGGAGTCACTCCCAATGCAAGAGTACCCTTTAAACGAATGAACCGGGAGTCGGTACCGCCGGGGAAAGTACGGACTTTTGTTGGGATATTCCTGGAATTAATTCCTGGATTAGGTTGCAAGAATTTTAAACATATTGTTCGAGACATAGTTTCAGACTCCATTTTTAACACTCTTTTATTTGTTTTGGGTTGTATGTATGTAACGGAATCTTTGAGCTTAATTTTCACAGGTTTCTAGAAGTCTGAATATTATCAAAATTTGAATAGATATCAAAAATCGATAAATTATTTTGCATTTGACTAAATTTTACATCTTTCCTCTCATAGATAGTTGCTACTAGAATGATTCTAACCTTCAATATCACGCACCCCATACTTTTTACTCAAAATTAAAATAACTTTTTTCTAATTGATAAACTATTTCCTATTTTGTAGTTCGGTTAGCTATAAAAGCGTGGTTTTTTTAAAACTATTATGTGTTAATGTTCTGCGTTACTTCTAGTTATGTCTTACAAAATGTCTGAAGCCAGTATTCATAGTTTTTAAATACAAGTTTATATTTAAATGTTGAAATTACAAAATCACAATGATTCAGTATTATCATTAGTTATAATCAGTCATAAAAATAATTCTAAGGATAATAATATTATAATTAGTACTGCATACGTTTCGGCAGGTGGCGTTACTTGTAACAATATTAAAATCTGATACATAACAAACATGTTATTACAAAAATTATAATTTATTGCATTTACCAAAAAAGTAATTATTACATCTAAAACTTACATTTTATCGAGTGCTTCTTTAAACGCGACCCAGTAAGGATTGCTGTCGTCTACTTTAGTAGGAGGTACGTACAAGTCTTTTTGTTCAAACTCGTATGTAACACCGCTACCTGCTTCCTCGCACCATTGTTTTATCTAGAAATTAATTATTACCTTTCATTGCGTCATAATAAATATATTTAAGACAAAAAAACTTTTTCCTTGATAATATTTCATGTTGTAATTTTATCAAACAAAGACATCTAATATATTTTTAAATTTTGTCTTCTTTTCTGTCTATTTGAGTATTATTATATTATCTTTAAACTTTTTTATTACGTATACAATATACATCCGAGCATCAAACCATATCAACCACGTTTGTATTAATGAGAGCTTTTTACTTATAATTTGATTATTTTTTGTAAATTATTTATTATCAATTTACCGTGTTTTCGAAGTCCACAAAGTTGACGGACAAGGCCAGTCGGAGGTCGAAGCTGGCTGTAAAATTCTCAGGAATCACATTGTTTTGGATGCCACCCTAGTTAAACATAATTTCTTTATAAATTTCGCATAAATAAAAGCAATAAAGGATTATAAGTAATAAGTAAAAAAATATTCCCAAAGTGGGTTGATGTCAAGCAGGCGGCCGGCCGTAAAAACAATTAGCCAAAACTATTCACAACATGTAAGGCAGACCCTGGCTAGAACTGGTAAATTGCCAGGTAGAAGAAGAAGAAAAGTAATAAAGAATATTTTTGTTAAATCTATAAGAAATTAATCATATAGATAAGTAATTTAGAATTTATCATAGAATAAAAGGACTTAGAATTTATCGAAATTCATTACAGTTCCGTCACATAGTAATGGTAATATTTCGATATTGATCGTAAAAGGTTTCACAACAACCATTCGTATGCAGTACGATTATTGCTTAGTCCAAGTTTCAATCACCACACTACATACGAGGCGTTTCACGTATTTCAAGTATCGTGAGCGGTGAAAAAAAAGTCATTTTACTTAATATAGAAAGTATTATGAAAAAATTCAATACTTATAATATATTAAATACAATATATTTAATATTTTTTACGTACTGAAATCATAGTAAGGTTGACAGAAGTGACATCACCGATGGTAAGTTCTGGATCGTTCTCCAATTTTTTCTTTGACTCGTTCCGAAGGTCCATAAACTTGTCTATCATGTACCTCAACTGCAAAAAAGTTTAAAAATATTTTTCTCGATATAATAATCAATACTTGTAGATATACTATATACTTTAAAAAAAATCTACAATTTAAAAAATGCCTTTAAGTATTGTTTACTTCTCTACTTAATAAAATAAGGCAAATATTATCGCTTTAAAACTTTCTTTCACGTTTATTTTAACATTTATTTTATATATAATATATATTATTTACCTTTTCCCCACAATTATCCGGCAACAGAAGCGATCCGTGGCCTGACATTCCCGGACAGATGACTTTCAAATCTGAATTAAAGACAAATAAAAATAAATAATCAAAATAATAGAATTCCAATACTATACCGACGAAATAAGGTTCCAAATTCTTTGTCATCATAAGGTACCTATATATATACATATATTTTAATACATACGCCATATAGTTCTCTCTCCATTGTAAATTACAAAGCTATCATCTGGACTTGCTAGTCCTTCATCAAAAGCGAAGCCGACGTTCAGTTTGTTGTAATGTTCGGAAGTCACAAATGTCTTCATGCCCAGAACACCGCCCTTTTCTTCATCTACAATCATATAATTAAATTTAATTTTATAACTATACAGCTTTCCGTCCGCAGCTTCGCCCGCGTGGAGTTCGGTTATATCGCGTTTCCAAGAGAACATTTCAAAAGTCTGGGATAAAAACTATCCTATATTCTTTCGCAAGGGCAAGTTTATCTCTGTACCAAATTTCATTAAAATCAGTTCAGTGGTTTAGGCGTGAAAGCGTAACAGACAGACAGACAGAGTTACTTTCGCACTTATAATATTAGTAGGGATTTAGTATTTAAAGATTACTTGATAAATTAACTAATATTTTTTTGGTTTTATTCAACATTAACAAAATATTAATTCATTCAATTAAATTCTAAAATTATTTGTAATTGTTTGTGTGTATTTATATATAAATACTTATACAACTTTCAAGTAATAAATAGCCAGTCTTTGATATCTTCCTAATTTGAGGAGCCTGATATATATGTACTTATAATGATGATTTTAAAACTTAATATCAAATGATTTTAATAGCACGTAGTATATAAGTGTTACTTTTTGAAAGTTCCAATGTATTTAGAACTGTTTTCTCCAAATAATATACCAAAATCCAATTCCTAAAGTTACACAAAGATTACCTGCCAGCGACAAGTTTGCTAAAAGTTAAAATGGAACAAATATTTCCAATATAAACATCTACAATTTCTTTGAATTCAAAATGCTCTCAAATTCTTTGAGTATATTTCGAATCTGTTATAGGTATTATTTAATAAAATTTGGATTATATGTTAAATTTTTATTATTCAAACACTTTCCTGGTACGAAACTCAAATGTATAGTCCTTTTTAGTCGTATTCCTCTATTCTTGAGTCTTCGTACCGCTTCTAAATAAATGATAGCGACCGATTTCATGTCTTGAACGCCTCGTCCATAGATCACTCCATCCACTATTCGAGCTTCGAATGGATTGTAGGTCCAACTTTCCTGGTAAATCGATTTATTCATTATAAATTACTTCAATAATTTAACTGAAAAGGTAATGGTGGCCTAGTGGTTAAATGATCGCCTCTCGTGCATGAGGGCGCGGGTTCGAAATCTAATAAGTATCAATGTGATTTTTCCGAGACATATATATTTTCTAAGAGTATTAAGACACCACTAACACACGATGAATAAAACATTATGAGGAAACCTGGATTTATAATTTCAAATTATAAGTTTGAAATCGCCTATCGCTATGAGCAAGGGTGGTGATTAATGCTCAAACCTTATTCTTGTGAGAAGAGGCCTTTGCTCAGCAGTGAACTCCGAAAGACTGATGATGATGATGAATTACATAATCAATATTCTTTGGTTATAAAATATGTAATTATCAAACAGATTTCATTTACCTCAAAAACGGGTACGACATCCATATGAGAGTTTAATAGTATGCTCGGTAGTTCTGGTTCTAAACCTTCCCAAGTCATTACAAGAACGGGTTTCTTTGGAACTACTTCGTATACCTGGACCTGTAAACCCAGATCATTTGCGTACCCCCTAAGATACGATATGCATTCGTCTGGAAAAAACAATTGCGAAATTAAATGAATATATTGTTTCGCTAAATTAAACAGGATATAAATATTTAAGTATATAACTATTAATGAGATCTAAGACTTTCGCGAGTATTCATTTAAATTCAACTAATATTTTGACATTATTACGCGTTTTTTCTTATTTTGAAATAAACTCCCGACGTTTCGGCTACTTTGCAGCAACCGTGATCACGGACAGATAAGATGATCTCGTTTCATCTCTTCTGCTCATCTATGATTCAAAAGAATAAGAAAAACGTAGTAATCTGAAAATGTTACTTATATTTAGATAACTATTATTTGCTAAGTCACTTCAGTTGCATATTCAAATAATAGACAGCAGCCAATTTCCGTTTATATTCAGTCTTCTCCCTACTACGTGACGTTTACGGGCAAAATCTTCAAGTTAAGAATTGAACCAAAAAAAATTATTTATTTAAAATTTACTTCCACAAATATGTGGCTAATAGTTCTGATATTGTGACGTTAGGTTTATATCTGTTTAAACTGAACTTTCGTGTATCGTCACACTACATACGAAGCTCCTTTCTCACTCAATAACAATAATCTATGTTAATAATATAATGTACGAAGATTTATGAATGAAATACTGTTAACTCTCCGTATGTAGTGTGACACGACAAACATAGAGTAAGCATGTATTCTTAAGTTGCTACTCGTATTTTAGTAAGAAATGACTACTTTCTGAATGGAAGGGCTTTAAGTATTGAAAAACATAAAGTTACATTGTAATTTGCTATCTTAAAATTTAAGTACTTTTGACTCGTTGAAAGTTTATTTCTGTTACTATCCAGCGATAGTATTTGATGTAGAAATATTTACTGCCGATAAGATCGAATAATATTGAAAATATAAAGTTTTAATAATATTTCAAATGTTTTCAAGAAATATTAATTTAACGTCATGAAATAATAAATTAATTTAACCTAACTTTGCTCAAGTACCGCAATAATTAGTGAGTGGACACATTCCGTTACACCACACATACCGAAAGTTTTCAATACATTTTCACTGACATGTACATATATGTATGTACATTTTGTACATCATCTTATATGGATAAAATAATAACAAATATTTAGCGTCATTTATTATTGAAAATAGAGACGATACAAATACATCATTTTGCAGATTTCTATCAAGCAATGAAAAATACATCCGCTGTTAGAGCGATAAAAGAAAAAAATTACAAAGAAAGCAAATTCTGTACAATTACAACTTCATCATGTTGTACATTTCTATCAAGCGACGGAAAATACATCTATCGGAATGAAAAGGAACAATGTACATAAAAACAAAAATGTGTACAATAGTGTATAACAATTAATTTTATAAATATTTACGTACCATAATTAATATTTGGATGAACGCTTTTAATGCGGATATAGTCCCTTAACTTGTTTATAGCGAGGTCGTCTAAGTTGTCAGTCATTGTAATAGAATAGTAGAATATAATAGTATGAACGAAAGTTACAACTATATTTCACTGAACATTCGTAATCTATTCTTATATACAAGTTATTCATTGTACAATCATTAACAAGGGGAGGTTGGGGAAATCGGAATGACTCGTTTTAGAAAATTAAATTTCTTATTCTATAGGAATTGTTTATGTAGATTGCACTTTTTGAAATTATGATTAATTGAATTTTATTAAATCAAACTAATATTTTCAGATTTATTACGCAATTATTGTTTTTGATTATAAACTAAATACTCTCGACGTTTCAGTTACTTTACAGCAACCGTGATCACGGGCAAACGAGATTATGAATTTTATTATTTATGCGGCTATCTTAAATATATACATATATTAACTTACTTTAAACTTTTTGTTTATTTTTATTTATTAAAATAATTCACTATGAAAACAATCTGAAGTGACAGTGGAGAAGTTTTAGTTTAAGTGTTGTGTAGTCGCAATTGTTAAAATTTTTGTTCTATTAATATCTTAATAACATAAAAGTTATTTATGACAAAATATTTTTTAACGTTGCCCAGACTGTGAATGTCAAGATGACAAAAACGTTTTACGATAGCCCTGAATGTGATGATTCTGAAAGCATTAGCAATGATTGAACGCTACTAAAAGAATAAATCGATGATAGAAACATTTATACAAAACAAAATCTTCATCGGCATCTTTTTGTGTCTTTACACATACATATATGTCTTGAAGATTATATAAGAGTAGGGTTGTTTAATAAAATAGGGAGTTTATAAAGCATGACTAATGTTCTATATCAAAAGTTCATTGATTTCTAATCTGTTTCATTTCTTTAAATCTATTTATATTTAAATGAAACTTATAGTTTTTCAGACATATTCCCGACGTTTCGACTACTTTTCAGCAACCGTGATCACGGCCAGACGAGAAAATTTCATTCAGCAAAACGATGTTTATGACCTAACCGTTTATTTCCTCACACAGAAACACGTCAGGATGGCCGAGCGGTCTAAGGCGCTGCGTTCAGGTCGCAGTCCACTTCTGTGGGCGTGGGTTCGAATCCCACTTCTGACATGACTTTTTTTTTAAATATTTTAGTTTTGCTCTCATATAAATCTGTGAAGTTAGTGATATGTTTTTTTATTTAAATTTTTGTAATTTTCGTTCAATAATTGTACATCAATGGATCGCAATTATAATACATCATATAGTTGGTTTGGTGCCAACATTATAATGTTAATCATAACAAATCAAACACCATGTGTTTAATACTATTGTAATGTAAATAAGATTTTTTAAGCAATCCAACTAGTACTACTTATTTTTAAAATATGATAGTAGTTCAACTGTCATAGAGATAAAATTTTTCGCATTTAGAAATAGTATCTATTTGTCAAAGTCGTGTTAGTCAAACTATTTATAAGTCAGGAACGACTATATGGATTTGATTGCAAATTAGGCTGGAATCAAGAGAGGAACATAGGACACTTTTACATTCGTTCGACGAAAAAAAAAAATTTGATAATAACATCCAAAATCTGTTTCTTTACTGCTTCAAAACCGAAACGTTTTTCCTGGTCAGCTATATATTTCTAATTATAAAACTGACGCGGGCAAAAGCTGTAGTAAAGTAGTCTTCCTATATTTTTAAAGTATAGTTACTTTCTGTGTGGTTCAGATTCATAATAGTGAATCTTGATATTTGTCAACTTACTTTAAATGTCCGTCTAACGGAAAAAAAATACAACAAAATTTTGTCAGTAGGAATCGTAACTTCATAAATAATAAGAAGTACACTCGACAATCTCCTTCATGTTTTCTCTATACAGTACTCAAGATTATAATACTTAAGTCCAAAAAAACGTAGCCTTTGGCAAAAAATTCCACGATTCAAGTGCGAATGAAGCCATAGCTTAAAATTAAAGGAAAAATAAATAGTATTTACTGACATCAATAAATACGAAGTAATGTAATTGAATTTTATAAACATAAAGTATATACAACAAATAGTATTTATAATCAATCAAAATAAATATATACAAAAAATGCAGTAAAAAAACTTATTAACTTTTTAAAGAAATAATTATTACTTCTATTAGAAATGAGACAGAAAAAAAAAATCAAAAAATATAGTCTCAACCTCACACGAGCCAATACTCCTCAAACCGAACTTTATAAATTTTATCATTATCAAATAACCGCATTGTTTAACCTACAATATTTACCACATATAGAAATAATAAACAATATCGGTAGATAATTATTGACATAGAAGTAAAAACAATATTAATTTTAATTTTATCTTTGTACTAGGTACGCAATATCAAATTATTTTCAAATATCACTTTTACTTTACACTCATATTTTTGCTATATCTATTAAAATAGCACGAAAAATGAAAAGCTTATAATTATGAAGTGCTAGTATCTACATAATTGTTATTTTATACAATAGGTATAGTATATACCTAGGTAATAGCAGTAAAATCAAGTAATGTCAAATGTTAAATAGAACTTTGACACACATGGTAATATTTTGACAGAAATATGAAGAAATTAAAGAGTCAATAATAATACGAAAACACTTTTTTCAAAATAAAGTTTTGTAAAATCGCTCCATCTGGAGTAAATTGTTATCCCTGAAAGAAATACGCAAAAGTTTCAACATTGTAATACAGAGGGTGCTGAATACTTACAAAAGTTAGTTAACAGTTTCTAAATGAAATACTAGATGGCGTTGTTGGTCTCACAAAATTTACCCTTATGAATTTAAGAGGGTTGCTAAGTAAGTTTTTCTGTGTAGATGGCGCTAAACATATACCAATGTTATACGTATTAAATTTATTAAGAGTGAGTGAAAATAATCAAAGCGTACTATTAAGTTTTAAAGTATACTGCTGTTTATGAAAGAAGACTTTATGAAAAGAGTTTTATAATATACTTAATTTCTTTTATATTCTCTGTACATGTGTGGAACCTCGTTAAATCTTTTGAGATGGTTCTTAATTCACTGCGAAATCTTTTGACGTTTTTCTTAATTACTACTAAGAATGTAGATCTTTTCATCGCATTCAAAGAAAATTTCTTGATTTGTATGATCTTATAATTTAATTTACGAATTACAAATATTAATTATTCTTTCGTAATTATTTTACGTTATTAACTATGTTATAATTAGTAATTGACATTTTTACATTTTCTTTAGAAGTGAAATTTGAAATTCAATATCATTGCTGTTGGTAAGACCTCATTAAAACATACATAAATGTATTATGCTTAAAATTGTCAAATTATAATGGATTATTATTTTTTTTATTTTAGTACACACTGCATTGAATATTTATAATAAATGAGATCTAAGACTTTCGTGAGTATTCATTTAAATCAAACTAATATTTTAGGATTAAAACTACATAATCCCGACGTTTCTTTATATTTTGCTTCAAACGTGATCACGTGACGTGACCGTGATATATTTATACCCTTTACAAGTATACCATAGTTAGGTCTTCATCTAAAAAATCCTCAGACTCTTGTGAATTAATTATCTAAGTTACCAATTCATTATCCTGTAATACAAGATGTATTTATGTGGATAGTGGACTAGTGGTTACTAGCCCCACCTCTGATGCATGAGGGCGCGGGTTCGATCCTGGCAAGTACCAATGTGATTTTTCCGAGTCATATGTACTTACTTTCTGAGAGTATTTAGACGTCACTGATTAATGCATTCCCAAAGAGGTTTGATATCAGGCAGGCGGCCGGTCGTAAAAAACAATTAGCCAAAACTATTTACAACATGTAAGGTAGACGCTGGCTAAAGCTGGAAAATTGCCAGGTAGAAGAAGACAATTAGTATAAAGGAAAATAAATAATGTATTGCACACAATATTTACACTGGTATAAACTTTAGTACTTTATTTCAGCTATGTTAATTTTAGTGACATTTACTTATTTACAAATAAAGCATTAAATATTGAAAAAGTTTTTTTTAAAGTTTACAAGTATAATGTACGTTAATGAAATAAAAGGCGTAGATTAAATAATTAGCTGGCTTGTTCCATACCTGACCATGTTTCGTCATTGTTTACATTGAAAATTACAACTTATATTATGTTTAAAAAGTTCATAGAAATATATATTATTATGAAGTGAGATTTATTATTTACTACTGTAAAATTAAATAGAAAGTTGTATTAATTTAAATAGAAGCTGATTTATGTTGACTCAGATTTCATAGTTAATTAAGTACATTATTTTATTAAAGTTACAGTTTTTTCATGATACTATTGCAATAATTAAAATTTTAATAGCCAGTAGCTGTATTGTGGAGATCGTTTATTGTATGGCTTCACCTGTTTATATGTATTTTAAACTTATAACTTATATTATAATTGTTTTAATAACATTGCTTATAGTAGTTTAAAATGTCATTACTTATAGCATTAAGAGTTAGGGTTTTAACAAAATGACAGAAATGTACCTCCCATACGTACTAGCTTTCTATTTGCGTTGTTGTACTTTAGAATAACAATGTTTAGAAATAAATTATAATTTATTCAGATAATTTAACATTGAAAAATACAATTTTCTTTTCTTACCACAACTTTCATTAACGTTAAAATGTTTAAATATATACAACGATACGTATGTACTACAACTAAAATCATTAAATATAAAATCACCTATACCTATAGGTATATTATTTTTCGCCGTCAAGTAAGTTGCACGTTGTTTTGAATTGCAAACAATTTGCAAGTTGTTTTGAAGGCTACTTTTACACAAATAATATTTTAATTATTTTATTTACTTATACATGTTTCGCAATTTCATTCTTCAACGACACTTCACAAAGAAATCCAATGATTTTCAAAGTTGTCTATTTATGTATAGTTACTTGTTAATTACTGCAAGTATAAACATTGAAAATGCTTCCTTTAGCGTCATCAAACACACTTTTTGTACTGTATGCTATCACTATAAGCT